AAACAGAAATTGGAGTGCAACAAGTTTTTTTTTCTCTGACAGATTTATTTAACTTGTGAAATAATTCTAAGAAAATGAAAGGATCACAATGCAGATGACAATATATTTATGAAAGATTCAAAAAGAAAACTAAAAGACATATTAGTAGACACCCATTTACTATCTGGTTTATTCTTGATATAAGAGTTGAATGTTTTGGAAGCTCACTTCTCCAGACTATTTTTATCTAACACTAGGTCTTCCTTCAACTTCAATTTCTTGAAGCCATTGTTGACATCTTTTTCTCCAAGTTTACTTCAGCTGTCCTTTGCCATGACTTTCATCAATACTCATATTGGTACAACACTTTAACCATGAATTGTTTCATTGTACATGATCAAACCAATGTAGTCTTTGGGCAATCAACAACAAATCCAGAAGAAAGATGCCCAAATATTCATACAATGATGCAATGCTGACCTGTCAGCAGGTTTGACACCACATATCCATCTGATTATAGAATGATCAGTGTCTACTAAATTTAACTTATTCTTAGCACATATAGTTGAAGACTATTAAAAGAGATTATTCAAAATGTGGTAGAAACAAAAACAGTAAAAAGAATGTGTTCAGTAGTACATGCAAAAGAAAATTTTATTAGAAACTGTTATGATGATCAAACTTAGTAGCCATAGGTATTCTTTGTACAAAGTTGTTCCTGAGTTATGGTTATAGCTCTCTTTATGCTAGTTACCTATTAGCTAAACCAATCCCATTACAGAAACAGTGTACTGAAGTACAATGTTCTATCTATCCTCTTGTACAGCTGGATGAAAAAAATCATTATGACAGAATGCCGAAAATTCCATAGCCAGAAAAACTGAGCAACCGGGACATTTACACTTAAAATCAGAGACAAGTGAAAATTGTGAGACACATTATAAGGAAAGGGGGCTTGGAAAATTTAACACTCATATTAAAGAAAGGGAAATGATGAGTAATCATTCCTAATGAGTCTGTGTGAATGAGTGGCAGAGTAAAGAGGGGTGTGGTAAAGAGTCAAATGTTGCTTAAATGGTAATATTAGCTGTTTCTTTATAAGGAAACATTCGGCATCCATTGATTCATTTTTCAAGAAAATAGGTTTCTCAAATCCACTAGCTGTTATCACCCTTTTCTGTATTGATGGAGGAGGGCTTCCTTCCTAACCTTTTGTTTGAAGTAGTGGAATATGAATATCTTGATTATGCGATTATTTTCTTGTTTGGTTACTCATGCTATCTGTTTCAATTGTTGTTGCTGTTGAAAGTTCTTAAGTGATGTGATTTCTGTTATTTGGTACAGTTCTTTGTGATTCTGTAGTGCTTATTCATAAGTTTCAAATAGCTATGACCCTCACTAAAACCTACAGGCTTCATTTTCTCAAAGTCATTTTAATCATTAATCTGAGAAAGTGGTTGTATACAGCTGACAGTTTAGATATTTCTGAACATTTTGGGCGCCATTCATGACATCCATATAAAAGTCTTGATTTGACAAAGTTATATAAGAACATGACTCAAGTTTTTAAGTTAATGTTTTAATTTTGTAGCAATTTGCAGTATTTAGTAAAACTATCTCCATTTTGTTGTCTTTAAAAACAAGAAACTCTATTTCTGACATGAGGTATTGTAACTATTTATATTATTTACATTATTTAGACTGTTGCCCTCATCTTTATCACCCTATTCATGTGGCATGAGAACAATCTATACCCATGGACTAAATAAAAGGTTTCATTTGAAGTTCCAAGAAATATCTTCTGAAGAAGGTCGGAATGTACAATGGCTAAAATGTTGTGAATATGACAATAAAGATGAGGACAACAGTCCAAATAATGTAAATAGTATAAAAAAAAAACAGGAAGTTGTGGAGAATCATGATCACCCACATCCAGAAGGAACACAACACATAAAAGTACAAATAACTCTTGGAATGATAATGATTGTTCCCAATGTTATAACAAGCGTATAACATTCATTGTGAAAGGAAAGGAATAACAAGGATTAGATTTTCAAACAGGTCAACAGTAGACTTAGATGTTGATTGGCTTTGGGGCATGTGTTGATTGATCAAGGTTATGATAGTAGGTTGATTCATGCTAGGGTGTGTGGGTTGCTGCGGTGGTGATGAGGGATTAGGTGTAGCTGGTAGGGCTGAGGCTGGCCAAATGTTGTATCAGCGAACAGGGTCACAGTGGTGATTGTGAGGAAGGCTTGTAGCTGGATAGTGACAATGTTGAGGTGTTAAAATTTGCGGCAATTGGCATCAGGAGCCTGGCAGGGTCAAAGCTGGATCATTGGCTGCATTCCACATGTGAAGAGTTGGATAAGTTTAGTTAAGCCTGGGAATGGTAACAGTTATGCTGAAAGAAGCAGTGATGGCAGTAGCACCCCATGTGTCAGCAGGTAGCCTTTCAGCCAGCAACTGCCTTGGTCATTACAAGGGGCCTGTTTTTAAGCAGGTCTGGCAGTCCTCAGGGTTATCTGCTTTTCAATCAGGAATGCTTGCAATTGACCAGTGTATTGCTTTCATTGCAGGGGTTTGCTTCATGGATTGGATGTGATGCTGAGAGCTTGTGTGCAGAAAATGACATTTTTTTTAATTTTGTTTTCTGACTTTTTGGTGTTCAATTCCAGCTGATATGCAGAATAAATCAGAAAGAGATCTAATTACAGTGGAGTATAACACCAATAATCATAAAAAGCATCTTTAATTTTTAGATATTGATTTTTGTCTTTTTTTGTTTGAATTTATGATCAGTTAATAAAGGAACTGAAGTTGGTTATGTTTTATACTTTTCAGGGAGCCAGTTCCCATTTGTGCTTGTTACTGACTGATTTACTTTTGCCACTGGTGAAGAAAACAGATGACACAAGCAATTTGCGCCTTCGAGGAGTGGCCTGCTGCTGCCTGTCTGAAATGGAAGATTTTTGTCCTGTATGTAAAAACAGCTGACTTTGTTTCTGTGCATTCTCATTCTTAAACAGTATTAGAATGAAACAGTATGTTTTGCTTTGTGTTTGCTAACAATATTTACGCATCAAGTGATAGTGATTAAATGATTGCTCTGATATTATATTTGGATTTCTTTGTCTGTAATTGCTTTTCTCTATAATAATAATAATAATCTTGCAATATAATACATCATGTGTATTTATATATTTTTTGGCTGTAACTATTCATGGCTCTCATAGATTCCTTTCCTTAATCAAAGAAATTTCACAATTGTTCTTGGGAAAGATAGTGAAGTAGTTTCTTGTAGCCTTCTCCATGGTTTTGCATTCACAGTAGTCTATCTAGACTGATTGCCACACAAAGTTAGAGAGCCCGTTCTGTTCTGCAATTTAACCTCTGTTATGGGTGGTTAAGCATTTCCCAACTTGTTTTGGGTGTTAGTAATGTCAGTGTTTGAAATTGACAATAACATGCTGTCTCCTGGAATACCCACAACAAAAATGGTGGACTCAATATGTGAGTCCACGTAAAGAAATATAAAGAAACAACAAGAACCAATATATATGTACGAACAAATGATAATTTATTAACAATAAAGGTTTACAAGTGACAAAGACAATGATGTGTGTAGCAAATGAATGTGAAAACCATTTGGATTCAAAGTATGTGAAGTGAGTGAATGTGTGTATGTACATGTGTTGTGTATATGTGGTTCATGCATTTCCCAAAAAGAACACCTTCTCTGCAAGAGATTTACATGTTGGCGTGCAAGCGGAAAAGTAAAAAGAGAGTGAGAAAAAATATTGCAGAGTATTTATAGTCTAGAGAGTGTCCCCTATGGGCAGTTTATGAAAGTAGGAGGGGTTAATCTAACACCTCTAGCTGAGGAGAAATGAGATGGGTTTTTGCCTTTCTCTAAGGTATTTGTGCGGAAGTAAAAGTAACAAATTAAGCAAGATTTTGAACTTGGCTCACTCATTATACTGTAGCTATAATTGCTACACTACCAGCACAAGTCATAATCTTTATTCTATTGTTTGCATTTACTGAACAAGGCTAGAAGTGATGAAAAATCAAGTTAACGAAATTAACAAGAACCATCTTTATTCCATCTTCTCTATTAAGTCTGTCACTTGAATGTATTATGGAAATTGAGATTCCTTTAATTGCAAGACTTTTCTGGATTGTACATATTGTGCACAAATATTAATTTAACAAGTTGGAGATGAATAATCTGAGGCTTTGTTGGTTTTGTTGTTTCATCTGGGATTATATCATCCGTTCACAACATGTTAAATTAATATTCGTGCGCAATATTACACGGAAACAAGAAATAAAATATGAACTGTTTTTGGTGTGAATCTAACAAGATATAACATATTTATTAAATGATTTAAGCATACAACTGCTTACATAATTCATTCATATTATCTGCAGAACATATATACAGGAGGGCTTTGATTTACATCAGAGATCTGTTCCTACGACACAACATAACCTGATTTTTAACATAGGTTGGAACTCACTTACATAAGCACCCATAAATCTGCCTTATGCTTGGGAAGCATAATGAAGAGCAAAATGTTCCCCAAAAAACTGCACAGAGATGTAGCACAATCCAATATGGCGTACATCTGCTTAAGAAACAACTGTCTTCCTCATATAGTGCCATAACCACAAAATGCCATATATATATATATATATATATATATATATATATATTTATTTAAAGAAAAACAGACCCCTTTAAGGCTCCATTATAATAATTTATTTCACCAGAGCCCTTTTAAGGGATGCTGGATCATCAGATAACACTTCCAAAAATTAAATGAAAGATGAAATGAAAATTCACACTTTTGACGGTTAGTATCAAGTTTATGTAATTTAACAGAGAGGGTAGAGAGGAGTGGTGGGAGAGACATGGTTGAGTTTAGAGAGGGTTTATTTTAATATTTCTTTCAATCATACTTAGTATTGGGGGAGGAAGGACCAGACCTTGACCTATTTAAACGGTTAACTTAACGGAAGTGATATATTGAAATGTGAGGGGAGAAGAGAGAAAAAGAAAGAAGGGGGAAGTAAAGAGAAAGAAGCTGTAATTAGGTTTTAAGTAGGAAGAAGGGGTGGTGGTATATTTTTAGCAATTTATGTAAAAAAATAGATTTTAATGTTTGATAGTAATTTAAATGTTCAAAAAAAAAGAACCATGAAGAAATTAATTTTTGCTTGCTAGCAATTTAAATATTTAACTCTTTTACAAATAACTTAGGGGTTTAATATAACTTAAATACTGTATTTATTAACACATTCATAGAGAACACATTAAAAGAATTTTTTAAAATATAACAGTTTACTGATAGTAATCTTTTAATATTGTAAATGACTGTTAAGGTAACATCTTTATAAGTTTGAATCTAATTCATGAATGTAATTTGTAACTATTTTTAGATTGGTAATCTTCCTTACTTAAAGTTTAGGTTTCAAATTAAGATGGAGTAATATTGAAAGGTAATATTAAAGATTTTTTTTTGTTTTCCTTATATATATCCCACATATACATGTATGTAAATTTTACATATACATACGTTCATTTACATGTGCAATTACACACATAGGTACATACACATGTATCGAAATACACAGGTACTTATACATATTCATATATAAATACTTACACATACATTTACAAATAATTATACATATTTATATTTATATCTATTTAAATTTTTCTTTAATTTCACAGTTAATGTTTAATGTTAGGTGATGACTTAAGTGTTTAAATATCAAAACAAATATTTCTAATTTTAATATTTTACTATCAATATTGATAGTTAAAGAGTGATATATTTAAATTTAAATATCAATTTAAAATGAAATTACCTCCACATGATAAAAATTTCAATCTCACAATTCTAATTAGAGAATATTAAGAGGGAAAGTAAGATTAAACATTAATAAAAGAACTTTATGTCCTTCCATTGAATACTTTTGTGTGTGTATATATATATATATATATATATATATATATATATATATATAAACAAATCTATACCCATATTTAAACATATATATACATGCATATGTATTTCACAAATACTTACATTTATATTTACACACATACATATATTCACACATATTACAAATATATGAACTCACAAAACATTTTTACATTTATATATATACACACATACATATACAGACCACATGCAATCTTATATGCATGACACCATATATATATATATATATATATATATATATATATATATATATATATATATATATACACAAACATACCTACCTAAACTTACTAATACACCCATACACCTATATATATATATATATATACATATATATGTATTCTTTATATATACACCTACAATTCATATATATACATGCATATATACACCCCTATACAAATATACATACATACATACATAAAATCACATATCACTGTCCAAGTCCATCTACACATTTGTATACATACAATTATGTATCCGCATCCATGTGTGCATATAATTATTTCCAAAACTAAAAATAACATAATATTTTCCTTTCTATATAGTTATTTCTAAATATATTTAGTTAGATTGAGGTGGTTTTTATGTCAACATTTAAAAGTTATATATAATATAATTGTAGGTATTAATAAAAAGAAAGAAATAGATTTAGGCTTATCAGTATGAAGAGACATCTTTCTTGTGAACTCGTTTAAGAAAACATGGCTTTCTTGTACAACAGTTAGTGGTTAGAGAAAGAGAATTTTTATTTTGGTGCCAAAACTGTCTTTTTAGTGCATTATGAGAATTTTACTTCCCTTCCGTTAAACAAGGCAAGGGACGCAACTCCTGTTTCTTATTTATGAAATAACTACAACGTCTAGCACCTTATCAATTTATCATCAGCAATTGACACAGACAGACATGTCTTGCCTCTACGCATGCTAAATAGTGATGTTTACGTTGACATGAAATTTCAAATTATCACTGCGACTATTTACCCAAACACATATTTAAAGAAAAGAAAAAAGTTTTTTTGTTTTTTTTCAGCATCCTCCCTCCTTCATGTGCATATCTAATTACATCAACATAAACATCAATTTAGTCTTTGGTACTAAAGGATGAAAACATAAACATCAATTTAGTCTTTGGTACTAAAGGATGAAATGCATCTCACAAAAACATTTTTCCACTTTGTCATAGATTTTCCTAAAATTCCCTTGAGTGTATAGTGTGCGATGGATAAATTGTCGTCTATATTGCACAAAAATGAAAATAACACTGACATCTCATTTTAGCAGATATATTTTCCAAAATTACACAAAAATATCTTGAAATACAAAAGAAACTTTTACTCTTTTGTATTTTAAAACATTTTTCAATGAAATTGCCATTGGCATCAATCACAGCTTCCAGACGACTTCCGAACCTCTTGCATCTCTTCTGCATGGTCTCTTTGTTTAAGTTGATGAATGCTGCCATAAACCTTGCCTTCAGTTCATTGTTAGTGTTATGAAGAGTCTCTTGCTTCAACTGCACCCCACACATGATAATCAATATGCAGTCTGGGGAGCTAGTTGGCTAGATGTAAGGGGTGATGTGATTGCAGAAATTACCTGACAGCCATAACTGGGTTCTCCTGCTTGTGTGGCACGGTGTAGAGTCCTGTTGCCAAACATAGGATTTTCCAGCATCCACTCTCTTGACCCAAGGAAGCACTACCTGCTCAAGGCACTTGATGTAGGCCTTCATGTTGAATCTGACGCCCTGTGAGAAGTTGAATGGTGCCTAAACATTGCCATCACTAGTGATCACTCCAAACACCATGATGTTGACTGGATATATTGTCCAACTCTTTCTGAATCCTCTGCACTGTCCTCAGATTGACACCCAATTACGCTGAAATGTTTGTATTTGTGCTTCCAGCCTGAATGCCAAGCAGTACCTCATGCCGTTTCCAAATTTCTGGCAGAGTCAATTGCCTCATGGTGCGCTCGTTTTCTCACAGACAGTGCCCAACTAATCCTACTATACTGTGCAGTCAACAAAACAAAAAGCACACATACATGAAATTAAAAATATAAAATGGCGACAATTTATCCATCGCACTCTGTTTATTTACTTTGGGTATGTGGTTATTGACATGGAAAATGGAATCAACAACTGAAATCAAATTCATTTTGCAGTAATAGCCTTGGAAAAGGCAAGAATCCATCTCTTCTACTTCTCTGAATTAAAAACTGGGGAAGGCACTGAGAATCTACTCCATTATTTTTTCCCCGAGAACAGTCATCGCTATTTACAAATATCAGAATTAAAAAATGAACTTAACAAGAACTATGATTGCCTACATCTTGAAGGGATATTGACATTTTCAAAAAAAATAATTTATTTATCTACTTTTAATTGTTGTTTTCACTTTTTAGGGTCTTCTGAAGAAACATTTGACGTCTATTTTGAAAACTGCACAACAGGAGACAACGTATATTTACCAAGATATTGTATGCTTATTATCACGCATCATTCACAACACAATGACATGGTCAGTTCTGAACCTATTCTTATTTTATCATGAATTAGTCTCTCTCTCTCTCTCTCTCTATATATATATATATATATATATATATATATATATATATATATATATATAAATGTTATCTTATTTTAAAGTTATTTTAGTTTGAGTTGCTATCTCGGCATTTTATTTTAATAAAAATTGAAATTAATAACTTGCCTAGTTTGAGAAGTGCTACTAAAGAAAAATTGTGCCTCCCAACAAGAATCAAACCCATATCTCTTTTTCCATCAGGAAATTCACTTCTAAAATTATGGAGAAAGAGGTGAAGGTTTCATTCTAGCCTGGAGGCACAAGTTCTCTTGAAAAAAGATTTCTTAATCTAGGCCAACTGTTATTAATTTCACAGTTGCAGAAAAGGAAAAATAAGGAAAGCAACTCAAACATGTGTCACCACAAAAAAATAATATTCAAGAAATAATGTCAGATTAAATATTCCATATATATATGTATATATATATATATACAAATGAGAGAAAGAACAGATGGAGTAAAAATCCACTGTTTGTAGCATTTACTTTTAAAAATGTACTCATTACAAATTAGAGCAGTATATTATTATATTTTTATTATAAGTGATTATAATAAGAACATTTTAAATTGCTACACAAAAACTTTCATGTTTCAATACTTTGACTGTACTTCTTCAGGTGATGGTAAGTAACTGGTGCTTAAATGATTTTTAAGAAAGTTTAAAAACAAAGTGTTACCTCTTTTCCAAAAGTGAAAGTGGGGGCACATAAGGTCAGAATTAAAAATAGACATGTGGGTATATCTTGATTAACCAATTAAATGTCAGATCTGTGCTAAATAAACTATAAACCGGGACATAGATATGTCATCATTGATGATTGTGGAAAATATTTTCCACAAAAATAACAAAAGGAAAAAGGATGTAAGGGCTTTACCCTGATCAACCATATATATTTTTTTTTAAAAATGAATATGTATTTTGTTTTAAAACCAGATTAATTGTTCACTTGCCAGTAATTTACAATCACTTGAGGAGTGTTGAAACATAACTGCAATTGTGTAGTGACTCTTACATGTTTTTGTTGTAATATCCTAAGATAAATGAGATATATATATATATATATATATATATATATATATATATTAGGATATTACATTATTATATAATATATATATATATATATATATATATATATGAGTGAGAGAGAGAGAATAACACAAAATAACTCCTGAAAGAGTATATGATACAAGATAAAGTGCTGAAAACCAAAATAGCAAAATATTATATTCTTTATAATGAAATCAGGAGTTCACTTGATTACTCATGACTGCTACTTTTGTATGCACTACTGCACACAGTCATAAAGTGGTCAGTAGTGATCTTTTGGTGATATGGGAACTTATGCCCCATCAACGAACCCAAGATGTTACAATAAATCTAACTAGTGAGTACACATAATGCACTACCCAACTAAAATTACAGAGGTGGGAAATACTAATATGACAAATGGTAGAATTGCCAAATATGACCTTAACTGGAGAAAAAAAATAAAGTCTCCCAAAATACCAGAGTAAAAAGTGTGTAATTAGAAGTGCAATAATTCACTGCATCCAATAGCATGTACAAAACTGGCAGTCATGGCTTTGACAAAAGCTTTCATGTTTCAATACTTTGATTGTACTTCTTCAGGCCATGGTAAGTAACTGGTGATTAAATGATTTTTAAGAAAATTTAAAAACAAAGTGTTGATATTCTAGGTATTTCATTATTTATGTTTTTTGTTTGTGCATGTGTATATATGTGTGTGTGTCTGAGTAAAAGAGAAAGAAATGATAAGATGCTGAAAAGTTCTCGGCCTACCCTCTCCCTGGAAAAACCCAGTCCTTTTGATGTTTGGTCATTTGATCAGATTTTGGCAATTTCTAACTCAGACATTGACCATGATGATATATATATTTTTTTAATGTTTTATGTGTTTATTTATCTTTTGACTTTTTAAAAAAAAACTTTACAGGCAAAATTTGTTGGATGTTGTTGACACAAGAAGAAGCAGAAAAATATCAGAAGAGGTCAGCATTTCTGCCTTTTTTTTGGTTTATTCATTTAAGTCTTGGATATTAAGATTCTGAATCTAATAATATTATGTCATTTACATAAGACAAAGACAAATTTATTTCTCAAATTGAGTTTAATATTCAAAGAAGCAGAATATTTATCCTTTTTATTTTTCTTTAATCATTTCACCCCAAGCAAGGCAATAAAGCCACTAAGATGCAAGCGGGTTACTGAGAGTGAAAGAAAATGAGAAAATGTTAGTGAGGAGAAAAGACAATAATATAACAGGATTCAGAAAGAATTTACATTTTTAAGATCTTAGTTGGCAGGAAAGTAAGGAGTTTGAAAAGAGTTCCACAGATGAGAACTTACGATTACATCTAGCAATTTCAACAGTAAGATCATGTGACCTAGTTGCTAATGTAGTACTACACTTAAATTCATGATGTCTAGATACTAAAGAGGAAAGCTCATTAAAACAATTGCCATGAAAATATTTATAGAAAAGACAGATTGATAACATTACAGACCCTTCTTTAGATTTTGTCAAGAATCTTGAGTTATATAACAGGAGCACCAGACCAAATATAACAGCAGTATTCAATGCACAAACAAATGGGCAAGATGAAGTCTGGTGAGAAAAATTATGTGGAAGAATCCATTTTTCTTTAAAATAAAAAAATAAATATAATTGTGAAACATATTGTGTTTCTTTACCTTAAATCCATTGATGTCATATAGACTAATTAAAGATGCAATTATTGCTTTCATTACATTTATTGCGCTATATTCAAATGTGAAAGATAAAATCTGATATTTTTTTAGGGGATTACAAATATGTGTTTATTATGGAGTTGTTTCTGTTCTCAAAAATGACAATTAGAATTTATATAAATACATAATTAAAACAGAATTTATCTTCTTAATCATTAATTTAATATCATTTTTTTGTTCGTAAAAAAGAAAAAGAAATGAGGTTTACCATACATTTGGTGAGAAGAATCACTGATCAGAAAATGAAGACATGATATTTAAAACTATCATTTGATAATTGATAATGTACAGTCATTGGTCATTGCAGACATTTTGCAAAAATATGGATTTAAATCATTTGTAAAGACGAAGAAACGAATTTTGGAATTTCTATTTGGTTTCTATTTTTGCTTCTCAGTACAATGTTCATGTGAAGGCATTATAAAGAGAAACAATTTGCTGATCCAGAATTGTCAATATTTGGAAACCAGTTATAAAATCAGTGTCCTAAAAAGAGAATGAAAAGGAAAAACATTGCTGATGATTATGTTTGCTTTCATAGAAATACAAAATTTGTAACAGGTAAATAATAAGTAATTGGCAATGTGTAATATATAACGGGTAAATAATACACTAAGAGTAAATAAAATATGAAATACATAATTAGTAAATAATGAATAATGGTGAAAAATATTGTACAGAAGAAAATAGCTACGTACTTCAAAAGTCAAAGTTCTTATGTACTGCATGTTGTTTTTCTGAAAAAAAAAAAAACCTCTCTATAGTACCAGATCAGTGAACATGCAAATCAGTTTCACTCCTAGTCTAATTAAAATCTATCCTAAATATCCTCATGATATGCACTTATATCCTCCTCTTAGACCCTTCCTTCAGTAAACCTCTTACTTGAGTGGCTTTTGGGCCTTGTATTGGGTGAACAATAAAATAAAAACAATCTTCTGCAAAAGCAATAAAAAAAATTGAAAATTTGTTCATAATTCTCCACAAATGAAATACAAAAATATTTTAAATTAACCTTTAGCATTCTGAAGTTGACATTTTTATCAAGCAAAATGTTTGTCCTACCAATGCAGGTGACTCTTATTATTGAAAAATAGTGTGTTTAAATTCCATGGTTGTGTTATCATATCCTGCTATGGCAGCAAAAATTATCTTGCGTAAAATCAACAACAGAGCTAGAAAGAGAAGTAATACTTGTAAATAATGCAGAGTGCTAAATGTTAATATGTATAAATGAATAAATAATCATTACATTGTTCACTTATTAATCATGTATATGCCTCATTAATCTGTAATTAATTTTATTTATATATTTTGATGTATTGCTAATACTTTCTATTTACAGTTACCCAGTCCTGATGAAAAATCCCTGCTGGAACTTGAAATCAAACAGTTTGTGTCACTTGTGATGGACAATTACATTTTATTCACCTCTTCTGGAATTTGGAGTTTATTACAAACTATGATATTATTAGTCAAATCGGATCTCGACATTTCTGCTTCGGTCAGTAAAATCACTTTCTTCTCTCACTCTTTCAAGCAATTCTTTTTTTCATTCATCTTATTGTCTTCATTTTATATTTTTCAAATTTTTAACTCTATAATTTTAAATATAAAAACCAGTTTTATTCAGATGGAAATAACATTTTAGAGGAAAGAGCATAAAAAAAGATTCTAATTGAATTTCTCATGTTAACATACTTATATAACCAGCATATTCTTTACATTTAAGAAAGCATTTTTCTGTATATTTATGTGATAGGAATTTGCCTGGTTTTTTGATGTTTTTTATTTTTCAGATTAATGAAAATTTAGAAAATTGCTTAAATTATCTTTTTAATGTCAGAATAAAGATAAAAGTCAACATCTGTTATGAAATATTTCCATTTGTTTTTTTAAAACATTTATAATAACGATTTATTCGAAACTTATTAATGACAAATATAAAATAAATTTTGAATTGTCTTTTAAAAAATGTTAGGTGAAGAGTTTGTGATATTTAAGAGTTATTTCCCCTTTTTTCAAGATTTGCATATTTATCTCCCCTAGATTTTCATATAAATTTGTTTTCATTTTTTCTTGATATTTGTATGATCTTTAATTACTTTATTAGAATTTATCCAATTTTTCTGTATTATATGCAGATCTTTAAGTCTTTGACATTGCAATTCATGGCTTCTTCCAATGCAAGTACATTCTTGATGGTTGTTTACATGAAGGTAAGACATTGACAATTTTTTTCTCTTTTAAATTAAGTAAACACTCATGGTAATGTAATTCTAGATCAGAGGCCCAATTTTTAATCATGGTATGATTGAATAAAAAATATACTCCTCAATAAAAGAATTAGTGAAGGAGATTAATTTCAAGATTCTGTAACTTCTTTCACAAGAATTGATATCACTGAAGTCTTTGGTAAATCTCTTTGAATCAGTAAATTAGGTATTTTTTAGATTCACTGAATCTATTTGGAAGGCAGCCATATCAATTAATCTTGAAGCAATGAGGCGAATGAAGAAAACAGTAACCAGCGAGTAAATTCAAGCTCTCCCAGCTGGTATTTCAAACTTGAGTCGTTCCTTCCTGAGTTCTGTCTCCAAATCACACTAACTGCCTGTTCTAGCCGTCAACCGTGAACGTCCCTCGAAGAACTCCCCGACTTGGAAAAAAGTAGTTGTTTTTATAGTTGTTCATGTACCCATAATCCCTTGCGTCTTCCTGTGATCCCATAATTCATTGCGTCCATGTCCCATAATGCATTGCGTCCATGTCCTATAATGCATTGCATCGTTATTGGATAAAAATGCCAGTCCCCCCCTCATTCTTTTACGTTATCTGGCCGAGGATGGATTACGTCAGAGCGGTAAGTGCTTTTTTTTTCTCCCTCATTTCAACTGCAGTAGCTTTACATGCTAAGCAATCACGGGCTCTTTTTTGGCGGGGACAAGGCAAAGTCGCGACCAGTTGTGCTTTCGTCCCAGGTTCTGTCTCATGTCCGCCACACTCCCCCTGATCTCCTGATCACACAGATGACAGTGAGGACACGGTCTTTTTGTTCGGTGCTCCTCTGAAGGGGGATTGGTTGAACTTCTTCATCAGAGGAGCTCTCATTAGACACGTCCCGATCTATTGGCAAACCTTTGCTTATCGGAGTGATTGGTTGTTGAATCAACTCTATGTATATTGGCTGTTCACTATCCTCCGTGTCTTCTTCGTCAGTTGTGGGATTTGAGCCCAAAAAGGGCGCAGGTCTCTAACATGACGAGGCGTTCCATCGACCCCTATTGACTGCTGACTCACCACCTCGGTCATACGTCGGTTCCAAATTTGGTCGTGCATTTACCACGGAGTCTTAACCCAGACAATGTCCCCTTCCTTGTATTCCCCTTCGGTTATTTGTGATTCAGGCGGGGACGTTGCGTCGATGCCTCTCACCCGGACGTGGTATGTGTGCAGTACATCAGCCGGTGCCGTGGAAGGTGAAAGGTTGTCCTTAGGTGTGACGTTATGCCAGTAAACCGCTTCCAAGACTGGAACAATTTTTCCTGGCCGCTATGGTTTTGAAGCTTCTGTGGTTGCGTTCCACAATGCCATTTCCAGACGGCACGTAAAGCGCACCGAACCTCAAATGCACACCCCAGCTGTTTACAAATTCCCTAAATTGTCTGCAGGTGAACGTGGTGTCATTGTCAGTCAGTATTTCGTCGGCGGGGCCTCGTCCGTGAAAGACTGTCTCTAGCTGACGAATGACACCAGCAGAGTCTTGCCGTCTCAGTGGCCGCCATACTGCAAAACGGGAGGGACCACAGTCAATGAGCGTAAGAAAATGGCTACCATTGCAATGGGTTACGTCCATTGCTAACCTGCTCCAGTTTTTTCTCACCTCAAATTTCCTTTCTTCCAATGCACTGGTGCTGGATCGATCGATTGGCAGGCTTCACAGGTTCTAACGACAGATTTTACCAGTTCCTTAGACACCATTTGGATCTACAGTCCTAGCAAAGTACATTGTTCTTTTAACACCTGGGTGCCCACTCTGCTGGTGGATGTGGGTCACCTGACGTTTGTTTCAACTGGCTCGTTGCAGTGACACAACTCACTTGCACCGGTTCTCCTCCTTTCTTGTGCATCTCCAACCAATTTTTGCGGCACTCTGGTGAGGCTGTCAGCGCGGTTCTGACAAGATTTCACCAACGTCACAGTCATAGTCAGTGCGTACTCCTCCACCAAAAGCTCGCAGTGTCTCTAAGTATCCGCCTCATCAGCATTTCACCCGCTGCCTTCGTGTTCACATGGCGCGTCCTTCCTGTCAGGGTGTCAGACACCCACCGATGCACACATGCTGAATCGGTGACCACATGCATAACTGGTGCCTGCCACTGCAGGGCAAGATTCACGCCCTTGATCACCGCATCAAGCTCAGCAAGATTAATGTGTTTGGCATCATTGGTTGGACGAACCAGCAAGCATCTTCCACGACGCTCCCATTCACCTCTAGTGCTACTCCCGTGGCCCGGAGCTTGCATCCACCCAAACTGTCATTTCATTGCCGTTCACACCAGTCTCCGCCCGACAGGATCTGATTCCCGCACTCTGGCCACTGTTTCCTCCAGCATACGTCCAAGAGGGGCATCCTTTATCTTTTTCGTCCCATCCTTTGGTTAGTGTACTTGCATAACGATTTTAATAAATGCAGTTGCCACCCTAAACCAACCTCACACAGGGAAATGACCCACAAGTTTCCCTTAAAAGGAAAATACGCTCAATGGTCACCTTTTGAGCAATTTCTGGAACCTGACCTTCAAGACTTCCATCGAAGGGAGTTGCTTTCTTCCAAGACTTGCAGACCCAGGACCTTAGTTCCGTCTCTCAATCGCTCCGGATCCTTACAGACTAGCCCGTAATCTGCAAAGTGCTGTCTTCCACGGCGCTGCAGAAACTAGGCCTTCATTTATGAAGATGGAAATCTTGGCATGGAATGCTGACATGGCACTCTTAATGTCCTGATCCTGGGGCGTTATCATGTCGATCACTGACTTCATGACAAGTGGTGCCACATTCAGTCCAAAACCCAAACGCGTGAAGGCAAAACCGCTTGCCCTTAATGACCACTGTTTGAAAGCGGCCATAGCGATTTGTCAATGTGAATCTGTAGATAACGCATTTTCTCAAATCCAACAGCGTACGTCAGCTCCTTGTCGTCGCCATTATTAATTTCTGCGCACACACCTCTCAGGTCAGCCCGTGAATGTTTTGAGATGCCGTTCAACTCCCGATAGTCAAGTACCGGTCGGACCTTCTGTTTGTGTTCTTGTATGACCGCCATTAACGGAATTAATCCCTTGGGTGGGCCAAGCTCTTTCTCAGGATATGGCAGTAGCCATCCGTCTCGCTGCCACCGTGCTAGTTTTTCATCGTATGCATGTTTAACGTGGCCAGGTACTGTGTACTCCTGTACTTTATTGACCAACTTGCTGGTGAATAACCACTCGCCCACTTCCACAATGCAGTCCACGTTTTTGTGCTCGGGTTAAACGTCACTCTAAAGTCAGGCTTGTTGATAACAATGGTGGCACATGTGTTCAGGTTTCGAAAGCGAGCTTGAGCCTGACCAAGCATAGAAAGTAAACACCTCCAGCACTTTGATTGCATCAATCAATAATAACAATAAAATCAATATGAGCAACTGCCCTTCATGCACCAGAACCTCAACAGTCACGGGCTGAATATGCTGACGCCCAACTTAATTTTACCGTATCCACGGCACTTAAGGGTCTTCCGTCGGCAGTCAAAACTGGAAACCTCTTTCCTGCTTCCAGCATAAAACACAAGAGTCTTGCTCACCAGCGTCTGTGAGCATCGAATCCACTAGAGCTGTGCACTCTACTCCATCTACAAATACAATGGTGGGTAACTTCGGGTTTTAAAAACTTGCCGGGGAGAAGGCTGGCGTGACGCCTTCTCGACCAGGAACCCTGGCATTCTGAGGAAATGTGTCCAATGCCGTTGCATCGAAAACACCGCTTGTGTGACCAGACCTCTGCGTTCTGTTTGACCTCTCCTGACGTCCTTGTGTACAATTCTTCGCCATATGGTTGGGTCCAGAGCACTTGTAGCAGGTAATCGTTCTGCTAACAGGTTTGGCAGGGGAACCTCAGCTTCTGGCGTTAGCTCTCATGGATGCGCGGATAATACCTGGCACCCTTCGTCATCCGTCATAATAGCCCTTGCTTGGGTCAGAATCTGTTCTAGATTCATGTCGTCCATCCTGGAAGAAGCTTTGAGAAGCTGCCTAACATGATGTGGCAGTCCTGACACAAATGCACATGCCATCCACCGATCCAGCACAAGGGGACAAGGCAAGTTGCGACCAGTTGTGCTCGTCCCAGGTTCTGTCTCATGTCCGCCACAAGAAAGGAATGGTCATCATTTATATTAACAATCGAGATCAGTGGTCACCAAGTGGTGGTCCATGGACCACTTGTGGTCCGTGCAAAATTTTTGATTGTCTGCAGAAAAATTGGAACATTATTTCAATTTTTATGAAGCTTCAGATTCAAAAATGACGAGTAACAAAATGTATTATTGATGGTATATATGTTCAAGACCTTATGTAATCTTGAAATAAACACGAGTTCACAAGTACACAAATGTAACATCATCCAGCCATAGTATAACCTAAAATGACTTGCAAACTTCAAATTTTCAATTTGTTTTGTTTAAATAATTACACTATAACTTTGTTACATTTAATAGGTGCATTTCATATTAATAAAAGAAAAGTTTACTGATTATTATTACAGAAATGTATTTACCTTTTTTTTTCTAAATTTATATGTCGTCTGCCAAATTTAAAATTATACATTTAGTGGTCCATGAAGTTCAAAAGGTTGGTGACCGCTGTTCTAGAGCAAATAGCACAAAATACCTAAAAAATATGAAATTCAGTTCACAGAAGTAATAAATGACGTATCATCATCATCCTTTGACTTCCCTATGGTTGGTCGGAACTTCATTGACAATACCTTTCCACACTTTTTGATCCTGCATTATTTAATGTACACACCTGACTCCTAGGCTATGGTGTCTGGGGAAAGTCAATTTTCATGAGAAGACACTTACAGGAGGATGCCATAGGAGTAAGCATGAGACAATTTCCCTGTCCACTCAGTGGCAGTGACCGACAAACTGTAATAGTTTTTGTTTGAGCTTAAGAGAGATTGGTCTCCGTTCTCTGTAAATTGTGTTAAGCATTGCATGGGATCTTCAACTGATGTTCTTGATTTTTCTAAGTAGATTAGTGCATGTTCCTTCTAGTCATCTTTCAAGACAAGCTGATAGATGACATATACAACTGTGGCAATTCAGTAAGGACCTACGACACCAGGTTCAAATGAATGTAAGCTCTATTAGATAATCAATTTAATGAGCCACATAACCAAACTAATAATACTGAGGTATAAAGGGTGAAGCAGAATTATACTGGAAATAGGACAAGAACAGTGCAGTTTTGTCAAGGACACTGGAACAAGAAATGAATTATTCATGGTCAGCATGATATTGAAGAGAGCAATACAAATACAGAAGGAGGTGTACTTATGTTTTATAGATTAGACGGAAGTATTTGACAAGGTATGGCACAAAGATCTATTTGAACCATTAGGAAAACTTGATCTATTTGGAGAGGATGTTAGAATAATCCAGAACTCATACTGTGAGCAAACTATCTGCATACAGATAGAAAATGAATTTAGTTATATAAAAAGAGAAAGGCCTGTGAAACAAGGATATTTCTTCTCTCCAGATTTATTCAACTTCTACAACAATGCTATCCTAAGGCAGCTAGAAATCCTACCAGGATTTATTATTGGTGGGCATTATTCTAATAATATAAGATACACAAATGACACTGTGTTGATGTCTGACACAGAAAGAAAAAAGGATGGTAAAAAGGAGCAGGAAAAAAAGGACTAACCATCAACTGCAAGAAGGCAGAAATTATGGTCATCAGCAAAAGAAAAAGTCCAAGATACAAGCTATGAATGAGATGTCAACATCAAACAAGTACAGAAATTTAAATATCTGGGAAGTATTTTAACAGAGGATGGAACAATGTGGACACACATTCGTATAGTGAAAGATGCATTCCCAAAGCTAAGCAAAGTGCTGAGAAACAGAAAAAAATTGTTAAAAACAAAAACAAGGATCCATGATCGCATCAACTTATATGACGGTGAATATTGGGCAATCTCCCCTCAGATAAAGAGAGAACTGAAGGCAAAAAGCGAACATGATTCTACAGAAGCAAAAATTGCAATATGAGCACTGGAAAAAATGATGCTGAAAACATTAGGTTTATAATACTCAGAAGTTCTCAAGTACACATGGCACAGTGGATAAAGGCGTTGGTTAGATCCAGTGACAGACCCAAAGAAGATGAGTTCAATACCTGGTTAAGGCAGTGGAGAACTTTCAGAGGGAAAATTAGCAGGAGATAACTGATAACTGACATCCATCAAACATGGCACGTGGAACTAGAACAGTCTACCCCAGTGATCGAAATAAAGGGTTCAGTTCGAAATTCCAACCACCTGAAGAAGGCCGGAGCGTACAACGGCCGAAACGTTGTGACAAATATGGCGACAAAGATGAGGACAATAGTTTGACTAATGTAAATACAGTAAAAAGAACATACTCAGAATCAGGAAGAAAGAGCTTAAATTTTTTAGACACCTAATGAGATAGTAGGTCTTGGCAAACTTAACCCTCACAGGATTGTAAGAGGGTAAGAGAGAGGAGGACAGTAATCCACCTACCTGATAAGATTGTGTGAATGGATGGCAGAATGAGGGTGGAAGGCTTAGCAAAGAGATAGGAAGTTTTGGAGGGCTATATTCACCCATGTCCTGAAGAGATGTGGCACACAGAAAAAACACTTATATATACTTGTGTATTTTACCTTAAAAATTTGTATGAAAATAACTATTGTCAAAGAAATTATCTTAAATATATTTAGAAAAAAATATCTAGTTAGATTTTTATTAATGATTAGCTTTGTGAATTTATATTATATTTATAATATATCTGTTCATAAGTCAAAATCTCTGTCACATTTAACATCTGTTTATTTTCTCTGTATGTTTAGTATTTGTCGTATCACTCTGAGGAGGGAAAGGAAGAATTGCCTAATGATGAATAAAAGCATTAATTTTATATAACAAATATTTTTTCAACATGGTTCTCTTCTATTTCAAAGCACTCTATTCAGTGGTGAATATTAATCAGTTAGACTGAATATTAGACAGTGAAAATTTCAGACTAAAATTCAGCAAAAATCACATATCAGGCTATGCACTTATTGATGTGCTCTCTTATAAGTAGTTCAGCATACCTAATTGAAAGAAACATGGCTTGAACAAAGGAACTGCTATTAAATCATGAAAAGGATCAGAAAATTGATTCAAGAAGGCAATCTGCAGTTGAATGGCGAAAGATGTTGGTCATTCCCAATTAGCTGTCTCTAAGATTTAGTGAAAGTATAAAAGAAATAGAATGGTCACAAAATGAAAACATATGGGGAGAGTACAAAAGACACCAAAACATCAGGATAAAAAAAACCCAAAAATTTAAGCTATACGATTTGAAAATAGAAAATGTACAATAAATCAAATTTGTTAAAACAAGAGTCAGTGTTTGTAATAGGATTTTAAGAAATCGGCTGAAGGAAATGGAATTTATATACAGAAAATCCAAACAAAAACCAGTATTAATAGACAAACAGAAGAAAATAGTATTAGAAAAAAACAGTCATACAATGTGAATAATTGGAAGAAAGTGATATTCTGTGATGAATCCAGAATTTCTATTGGCCAAGGCAATGATATTGGAACTTTTGTCTGGTACTATTTAAATGAAACATATAAAAATGACTACTTAAACAAAATGAATAAATTTTCAAAGTCATTCATGATATGGATGGTTGTATGCTCTTTAAAGGACTGAGGGAGATGACAATCATTAACTCAACAATCAGTGCTTGTGTGTACATTTAAATCTTGGATAATTTTCTCATTCCATCAATAGAAAATTGGTTTGGTAATGATGAAGTCCTTTTTCAGGATAATAAAATCCTGTTACAGAGCAAAAGGAATTAAAGATTTTCTTCAGAACAGGAATATAAAATCAGTGACATGACGAGTGAACAGTTTGCTTCTAAATTCAATTGAAAATTTAGGGTGTAAATTAAAAAAAAAAAAATATGTCTCTGAGCCAAAATGTTCTATTCAGCAAAGAAGCTCTATTAGCTGCCATTCAAGAAAATTGGAACCACTTTGATAAAGTATATTGTTTTAAATTACTGAAATCCATGCCTGAAAGAATTAAGGCTGTCATAAAAGTTTCAGGAGAGGCACTTAAGTATTATTCCTTATATTTTTGTTGATGAATTCCTTTATTTTTTGTCTGTAGTATTGGGTCATTCCATAATATATTCCATAATATATTCTTCTACATGGGTTGGAAAAAATTATACCATTAATTTAAATAATTTAATCTAGTATAACAGATTTTATAAACCAGAATGTTCAGCAATTAAAATAAATAAAACCTACGGTGAACATCCTCTAAGTGTGCTGATGCCATAATTTTGACTAGTGCTAGTATTTGTTTAATAAATCCTATTTGTGATATATATATATATATGGAGAGAGAGAGAGAAAAACAGTTTTATATATATATATATATATATATATATATATATATATATATGTGTGTGTGTATGTATGTGTGTGTTTAAAATATATAGAAAATAGGAAAGAACTTGTTAGGTAATTAATCCAAAAGTTCTTTAGTATTTTGTTATTATTTTAAAAAATAGTGCTCAATACAAAAAGTAGAGTGTATATATATATATATATATATATATATATATATATATATATATATATATAAATAAAATGTTTCTTTTTCTTTTTATGCTACATAGGCAGTCATGGCTTTTCACAGATTCCATTTACTGTTTGTTATCTGTGAGTTGCCATGCATTCTTAGCAAAGATAATGGAATAGTTTTCTATTGCCTTCGCCACAGTTTTGAATTCAGTGTTTTCCTTCTCTTAGACTAATTGCCACCCAAAACTAGCAAGCTATTTAATCCATAGCTGGTGGGAGAATAGATGGATTTATGGCTTTTCCAAGATTATTCATGTGAAAGTAAACACAACAGACTAAACTAGAATTGGAATTTGACTTGCTGACCTACATATACTACCTTTGATATTACAGGTTAATTATAAGAATAATTAGTTAGTTGATAAAATTGTTATAAATGAAGTGGAAACTACTTATCAAAGATGCATATATATCAGGTTGTAAAAGTTGAGAAGATGATATTGTTTTAAGATTAAATATCTTTTATTTACAGTCAGACTAATGATCCTCATCTTTGTTGTTATTATCACAATGTTTTGGCCTTTGTACCTTTTTGGCTTTCTTTATGTGAAGTGAAGAAATATAAAAAACTAGGGTAGAGTATTACTTTAATTTACCGTCTCTTCTACCAACAATTAATTTTGGAGAAAACAAAAGGAAGAAACTGAAAACTAGAGAAGTTATGGGGGAGGGAATATTTATTAGGTGAAGAAAGGAAATATGTTGTATTATAGGTAGGTGAGTGGTAGTATAAAAAGAATATGATATATCAATTGTATTTGATTTTATTTTTTGTTCCTTAATTATTTCAACACAAACAAAGTGATAAAGACACTAGAATATAAGGACTTTAGTGAAGAGAAAGGACAATAAAAGAACAGAATTTAGGAAGAGAGAGATGTCGATTGGTGTTGCATTTAAATTTTTGACAGGAAAGAAATAAATCAGAAAGATGTTCCACAGGCTGGAAGTCTAAGTAAAGAAACTATTAACTGATTAATGTCTGTTTGATTGAAATCTTAACTATAATTTGTTTTTTTTTTCCCTTTTCAGATGCAGTTTTCACATCAAATTTTATCAGTTACTGAAGAAACTTTGCTCCACAAACGATTTGTTATGGCAGCCATCCATCCAGCCAACAATGTTGCACAAAAGCATATTCTTCTGTCTTGTCTTGCTGATTACATTGGATACAATGAGGTGTGAAGCATTTTCACTTTTTTATTCTCTCTATGGTTTTTCTGCTTTCAAACACTTGTACTCTCATTATTATGACAGTTTCAAATAAAACTTTGTTTTGCCTATTGAAAAACATTTATCGATTGTTTTCATCTTGTAAAATATTAAAAACTTTCTCAGAAATAAGTTTGAATAATTAAATATCTTTCTAAGTGTTAATGCTAATTATTGCTGAATGCTGCTACCTTGATAGATCATTTGGCCAATTATTTGGTGGCGTTGAGGTAAATATAAACAAGTCTACCATTAATTCATACTTTGAATTCTGCTGGCATATTTGGTCTGGTGCTCCTGCTATTCATTTTGAGGTTCTTGACAAAATCCAAAGAAGGATCTGTAATGTAATCAATCCTGACTTGGCATCTTGAACAATATGGTGTGGCTTCCCTTTGTCTTTTCCACAAATATTTTCATGGCAATGTCTCTGACAAGTTTGTTTTTTACCTGGAGACCTGATTAAAAGAATTTAAGTGTGCTACTAGATTGGCATCTAGGTCCCATCCATTGTTGAAATAGCTAACTTCTACTCCAACAGTTTCTTTTCTCATACTTTTGTTTACTTGCTTCCCTGATAACTACAATCTTCAAAAATTTAAATGCTACGTCAATCGCTATATTCTATCTTCTTGAATCCAATTCATGTTTCATCCTTTCCTCAGTCCTTCCTATCTTTTCTCTGATTTTTACTCCTTGTAACCCCCTGTGTACTAGAGGCATTTCCCCATTGCTTGGGGTAAAATGATTGCAAAAACAATGAAGAGAGTGTATCTTATAAAAGGAATATGATAAATTGCATAAATTGACAGTTGTAATTAGGTGAAGTAGGGAATATACTTGTTAGGCATAGTAGCAATTATTCATGTTTACTGGCTTCAAAGTATCGAGCTGTTGTATTCTGTTGTAACAGAATTGGATATAGCATATGAAAATTATGAACATAATTAATGGTGAGGATGGTAATGACCTGGATGACCTCAAAGTAGTGCAGTGCAGAGGTCCAATTTAAAATTACTTGGAGTTATTCAGTGTTATGATGTTTTTCTAAACATAGCTTAGATGCAGCCCAAGGTTGGATGTATGAGGCACCCAGTGAGGATTGAACTTACTATTCAGTTGTAATTGATATAGTGAGACAAGCTTGCTAACCATTACACCATGTCAAAGTGCCCAGTCAGCAGTGTTACCAAGTGCTCGTTAAAAAACAATGCTGGACAGTTTATAACCAGAATTCTTAACTATGTAGGACAAGTAACTGTTTCTATATGAACTGTCACAATGTTCATAAAAAATGATAGAGACATAGATGAGTGTCAAGAACATAATGAAAAGCAAACTTTAAAGATCCCGGCATCAGTGAATTATTATCTGCAATGATATCAGAAATTAAAAATTCTTAAAATACAAAGCATGCTGTTGGTAGTTGAAGAGACTTGTGAAATGGAAAACAATTCTTTTATTAGTTTTAAAAATTCTTCAAGATTGGCAGCCTCTCTTGCCTGAACATTTAATTTTATGTATACTTTGCAGTGTATTTGCAGGGAGATCCAATTGACAGAGAAGCTTATTTAAAACCATTGAAAGAATTCTACACTGGACAGTTATGGCTGCTCAATAAAACTGTCTATGGATTAGGCTACAAGGCAAAAGCATTGGTATATGATGTTTAAGCAGATATTATTAGTAAAACTGTCTATGGATTAGATAACAAGGCTAAAGTATGGTACATTAGGCTTAAGCAGATGTTGTTAGAGGCTGAATGAAGATATCAAAGTTGGACTGTCACATTTTCTGTGAACACGAATTGTGGTTTAGATCTATTCATGTAAACGATATTTTAAAATAAGTCCACAGTTGTTGAATATACACCCTTGTAGAAATTAATTGAAACAAAATGAATAATAGTTATTATTAACTTTTTTTTTGTATTTTTTCAATGAAACATGACTCAGTGGATATGTTAATGTTTCATATGTCCATTCCACAAAGTTTTTCCTTGCAGATTGACCAAAGATTCTTGATTGGATTTAAATCAGGAGAGTTTCCGTGCCAGTGTATAATACTTTGATTTGCTCACTGGTAAGGCATGCCAGTGTTTTCATGCAGCATTACAATTTTTTTACGCTTCTTTGGAGTAACATCCATTGCAGACAATGGCTGTAGGACAACTAATTGGCAGTAGAGACAATAGTGTCTGGGCATGATGAAAATCTGATGCAATCATGGATGACACAATATTTTACAAGGCCAAACAAATTTCGTCATACACCCCAAAAATAAATACATATCACTTCACATCACTGCAAATGACTTAACTTGAGGAAAAATAGAAATCGATTACACCCTGTCACTGCAGTGGGTCTAAAACTGACTGTATGGTGAAAGAAAGGAAACTAAAGTGGTTGTTTCAATTAATTTGCACAAAGGTGTATCATGGAGAACTTTTACATTGGCTGTTTCAATATTGAAACTTAATTTTTTTTTTTTTTTTGAAAATTCAATAAATAATATAAGACTAGCAAATCCAAATAAATGTCTGTTCTTTGTGAAATGATTAGGAAAAGAGATATCATCCATGAAATATCTTGGAGTTGGTCAATCAACTTGCTGATGTTTTAACTAATGAAGGTGCAACAATAATTGTACTGAGAGCAATAACAAACTTCAAGAAAATGCTAAAAGCATTTTAATAAACAAAATGGAGATAATTGAAGAAAATATTATAACAAATGAATAGTTGCAAAGACTTTATTAAAAAGTGTCAAATCTTTAAAAGATCAATTTTATATAATTAACTATACGAACAAATTATAAATATGATTTTTATATTCATTAAAACTATAAAAATTATTTTGTGTATCATTTTTTAAAGTTGCAGAAATTAAAATAATCTTAAAACAACTGAAAAACAAATTTCCTACTTTTTATTTGAATACATTTATCAAAGCACTTTGAATAACACCCTGAAAATAACGACATTTATCTTATTTTATTTAATCAACGAGAGCAACATTATTGCCATTAAAAAGAATAGTTTATATTTGTAAATGACAATGTAAATATCTCTAATTATTTGTTTAGGAAATGATCATCATGTTGAAGAAAGTAAAAGATTCCTTTTATGAAAGCTAATAAATTAATCTTTTCTCTCATGCATATGAAGTAAACTTTAAAAATATTTAACTGAATGTCACAATTGATCAAATTTTTCTCACCTGTTTGGTGATGATGATGATGATAATGTTGTTATTGTGCGATAAACTTTATGGAAAATAATAAGCTAGGAAGTTAAATGACTAATACATTGCTCTCCCTATAAACATTTATTATATTTAAATTCAATGACTTTTTCTTTTACATTGCTTAAGATAAATGGTGAGTTTAGCCATAACCATATAGGAAACATTCAGCATTTATTGATTGAAATGTTACTGTCACTTGGAATTTATAAAATCTTTTTCTTAAAACTATTTTGCAAAAAATTAATCTTTTCAACTCCATTAGCTATAATCACTCATCCCAGTATTACTAGGAGTTTCCTTCCAAACCTTTTCTTTTTCATAATGTGGAAAGTTAGCTTAATTATTTTATTAATTTCTATTCTACTTACATGTGCTACCCATTTTTGTTGTTGCTGCTGTTGGAAGTTTTCAGTTAATGTGGTTTCTCTGATTTGCTAAAGCTCTTTGTAATCTTATAGTGCACCAATCTAAAGATCTGATTAAAGAGTATTTCAAAACCCACAGGATTCATTCACCTGAAACCATTTTTAATCAATCATCTGAGAAAGGTCTTTGTAGTTTTGTGTGAAATTTGAGAATTTGAATATATTTTCTTTTGGTAAATATGAGAGGTGCTGAAAAGTTCTTGGTCTAACAAGGAAACTCCCTTTCAAAAAATAAAATCTCATATTTGGTTACTGTGCTAGATTTTGGGAAATGGGTTATGTCTCAAACTTGTAAATAATATATGATATTCTTTATAATTGTCCATGTTAATTATGTTTTGTTTGTAGACAAAACAGTCTAAGCAGTTTCCATCTGTGAATCCCGTGCCTATTGTGGCTATCAAACAACTTGCAGATCTTAAACCAACAGCATTTGATGATATTCCTATTCAACTGAAAAAGACACTCATTCTTAACAAATGCCTTCCTGTTTCAAAAGATGCAGGTATGTCATCTTTACATTTATTCTTATTTTTCATTTTTTTTTTGTTTCTATAAAACTGTCTTAAAACAAGTGTTGATTGTTTTTTTTTTTGAGGAATAATGTTCTGATTTATCTTTCCAAATTTAGATAAAATATTGTGTCATTGTAATTCAATTAATTCAGAAAACTCATTTGATTTAAGACTAATTAATTCTAATGCATTAAAAATTGATAAAATAAAATATTTTACTTTTATTTTGCTGTGTTCATTTGGGACATGGGTCATGGCTCTCTACAACTTCCTTTTCTTTTTTTAGCTCTTAGCAATGTTTGTCTTTCATTATCCCTCCCACTTCAACACTACATTTTAGTAAAATTACCCTAGTTTCTAAATATCTAAAACAAATACAATCTATATTCTAAGTAAGTTCACTATACTTTATTTAATTGCTTTAAAAAGATATCGACAATTTTCAGTTGGTCCATGAATGTTGATTTCATCAGAATTGTTGCTTCCAAATAATTAAGAAAATATTTTTACTGTGTCCTTATAAAAAAAAAAAATCATAAAACCTAAAATGGAATGTATTCGTGTAATTTTTCAGAATTTGAATGGAGGGAAATTTTTTTCTTTTTCCAAAATTATTTACATAATTGCTGCATATAAATTCTTTTTTTTTTTTTCACTATCACTTGCATCATTTATTTCTATTCATGCCTTTTCCCAGATTATCTCTGTTTAAGTTTGAACTTGGCTCACCAATTCCATTTTCTGTGTGCTCTAACTTCTTGGCTACAAGCACCAAAACTGGATCAGTACAAAAATTTGTCTCAAGACACCGTAACTTTTCAGCTTGTGGAGAAGACCTTGTATGCCAAATCCTGTTGAAAGCTTTTGAGATGTCCAAAGCTACAGCCCAGGCTTTACCATTCTTATCTAGATCTTTCCACAATTATTGTCAATACATTATATTGCTTATCTGAAAAAAAGGCCCTGCGATGTGAGATGCCTCCCCTGCTATTCTTTAGAAATAATTAATAAAATATCCCTTTATTTCCCCAGGAAATAAGTTTTGATTCTAAATTAGCCTATGGTGATCTCTATTCATTTTGGAGGTCATTACCACTTATCTCATGTTTATTATTATCTACTACCACTTATCTCATGTTTATTATTAAATTAAGTTACCTTTTAAATTTTATTTTCAACCATCTGAATTCAGCCATGATGTTGTATATAAACAAACAATAACTAGCTTTATAGTAATAGGTTCATTAAACAATAAGTTCCTTAGTTCATATATGTGTGTAACATTTCTTTTTCTAAGGACTTTTTTTTCACTATTTACATTATTTGGACTATTGTCCTCATCTTTGTCGCCATATTTATTGCAACATTTCAGCCTTTTTCAGGTGGTTGGAATGTCAAACTGGGGTAGACTGTTCTAGTTCCACATGCCATGTTTAATGGTTATCAGTTATCTCCTGTTAATTTCCCTCTACAAGTTCTCAACTGCCTTAACCGGGTATAGAACTCACACTCTTTGGGTCCTGTCACTGGATCTAAATAATGCACTGTGCCATGTGTCCTTACCAGAGCTCATATTGCAATTTTTGTTGTTATTATCGCTTTTCTCTGGCACTCCTTATTACTGGTTCCCATATTCATTTCTATGCTTGGTCAGCTCAGGAGATTTTTGTGGCATAGCATATGTGCTGATTCCTTAAGTTTACGAATTTTCCAATCGTGCTCTTTGTCTTTGATCTCAACCTGATCCCACAGAGGGCGGTGATCTCCCTTCTCTCTCCATATGTGATCAGCCATACCTGATTTTTCTACTTCCCCTCATGTTACAGATTTCTGGTGTTCTTGAAGCCTTACCTTACCTCTTTAGTCATGTTCTTCTTTATGGTGGGGAGTCTTACTCTGGAGAGATATTTGCGAAGTGTTGTCCAGCTTTTGAAGATTGTCCTGATGTTATATGGACCGCAGATCCTTTGTATTTTCTCTGATAACCCCTTACATAAGGCAGGTAAACTGTTTTCTGAATGTTTTTTTTAAAAAAAAGATACTGCCAGATGCTTATAGAGATTCTAAAAATTGAGATCATGTACTATAATCATCAACATTTGCAAGTCTAATAAGTCTGTGTGTTCATACATGAAGATGTGTACATTTCAGATAATTCTGTCTTGTTGAACAATCTGGAGTCTATTAAAAAGATGGCACTATGCACTGATGATGCTGAACCCACATTGGCCCTCTTCTGCGCCTTATTTCATTTTTACTGCAGACATCACATCTCAGACCTTGGAACAAAAATCCAAAAGTAAGTTCACATACAAAATTGATCTTCCATTATAGAATTTTGATTGTTAAATTTCAATTGCAGTTTAATTTGAACTGATTTTGTTATTTTCATCATAGTATTTCATTGCAATCATTTTAAATGTCAAGACAGCGATCTTGATTGCAAAAAAATTAGTTTTTATACACAATATAAATATATAAAGATTAAAGATAGAATTGTTATTTTACTTTTTATATAATAAATATACCAAGTGAATTTTAGCTCATAACTGTTGTTATTATCCTCATATAAACAAATTCATACATGTTTAATATATAAAAAAGATTTAATACATTTATAATCTTCATATATACAATATATACAAATTCATGTTTATAGGAAAAAGGAATTGGAATTTTACATCTGGGAAATTTCTTTTAATGATAGAAAATTGAAAGAAGCAATATATTTCATCATATTGGATAGATAATTTAGGTCTGTGTGGACTTTTGTTTTCAGCAAGGAGGGAAATGGAGAATATTCCTATGTGTTTATATGAAATTCCCTTTGTTATATAGATAATGAGAATGGTATTGTATCTGGTGAAACACACTGTTGGGAGTGAGCTAAATTTGTTGTTGTATTAGCTACCATATCTTTTCTGTTTGTCAGGGTTAGAAAGAGACCTCTTTCTTATAAATTTTAAGTTGTATTTTTTTTATTTTTTTTTTTAACTGAGTTCACTCTAAGCAAGACAGTAAAGCCATTAACTCACTAGGAGGTTACTGGGTGTAAAAAAAATAGAAACAAAAACATTACTAAGGATCAAAAACAAAAGCAGTGTAATCAGGAGGACAGTAGATAGCAACTGACATTGAATTTAAATTTTTGAAGATTAAAGTTGGGTGGAATGCATGGAGCTGGAAGGGAATTCCACAAGTGAGAAGTGTGAGAAAATGTTGCATCTAGCCAACTTACTGGTAAATTGATGAGACCTCAATGCCAGTCTAGTACTGTGCTTAAATTCATAAAGACTATGTTTCATAGTGAAGAGCTCATCTTAACAATTACCATGAAAGTATTTATAAAAAAAGTCACAGAGAGGTAACCTTATAGCAGTGGAAAACTGACTGAAGCTAAGATGCCAGATCAGGACCAATAATATTACTGATTCTTCATTGGATTTTATCAAGGAGCTCTAGATAAATAGCAGGAGCACCAGACCATATGTGGCAGCAATATTCTAAGTTTGGATGAATGGTAGACTTATAGATAAATAACATAGATTCTGGAGAGAAAAATTGTTGGTGCACGACACAGTGAACCAACTTTCTTAGCAGCTGACCTAACAATGGATTCAATATAGTCTTTTCACTTCATTTCAGCTGAGAATGTTAGCCTGAGAAGGCACAATGAATCACTTTTCTGGAGGTTAGCATCAGCCAGGCTGATGGAAAGTAGAGAGTGGGGATCTATCAGATGATTTTTGGAGCAGAATTTAGTTTTGGAGGCATTAAAATTAACAAGCCATCTATTGCTCCAGTTAACAACAGACTGAAGGTAGTTTTGAACATCAGCTATCAATTTGACCTTATTGAATTGATCAGATTTACTATCAAGACAGGAGTAAATGGTTTTGTCATCAGTGTAGATGCCAAGTTGAAAGCAGATGTCATTTTGAAGGTCATTAATGAAAATTAAGAAGAAAGTGGGACCAAAGATGGAGCATTGGGAGACACCTGCATTAGTATGAAAGAATCTAGGAGAGTGCCTATTCAAGATAACTTTCATTTCACGATTTGATAGGGAAAACTGTATCAGTACAAAAATTTGTCTCAAGACACCGTAACTTTTCAGCTTGTGGAGAAGACCTTGTATGCTAAATCCTGTTGAAAGCTTTTGAGATGTCCAATATAGAAGGGTCGATAATATATTAATATGGGAAGGTCGATAATATAGCAATATAGAAGGGTTGATAATATATTAATATGGGAAGGTCAATAATATAGCAATATAGAAGGGTTGATAATATATTAATATGGGAGGGTTGATAATATAGGAATATAGAAGGGTTGATAATATATTAATATGGGAAGGTCAATAATATAGCAATATAGAAGGGTTGATGATATATTAATATGGGAGGGTCGATAATATAGCAATATAGAAGGGTTGATGATATATTAATATGGGAGGGTCGATAATATAGCAATATAGAAGGGTTGATGATATATTAATATGGGAGGGTCGATAATATAGCAATATAGAAGGGTCGATAATATATTAATATGGGATGGTCGATAATATAGCAATATAGAAGGGTTGATAATATATTAATATAGGATGGTCGATAATATAGCAATATAGAAGGGTCGATAATATATTAATATGGGAGGGTCGATAATATAGGAATATAGAAGGGTCGATAATATATTAATATGGGAGGGTCGATAATATAGCAATATAGAAGGGTTGATAATATATTAATATGGGATGGTCGATAATATAGCAATATAGAAGGGTTGATAATATATTAATATGGGATGGTCGATAATATAGCAATATAGAAGGGTTGATGATATATTAATATGGGAGGGTCGATAATATAGGAATATAGAAGGGTCGATAATATATTAATATGGGAGGGTCGATAATATAGGAATATAGAAGGGTCGATAATATATTAATATGGGAGGGTCGATAATATAGCAATATAGAAGGGTCGATAATATATTAATATGGGAGGGTCGATAATATAGCAATATAGAAGGGTTGATAATATATTAATATGGGAGGGTTGATAATATATTAATATAGGAGGGTCAATAGTATAGCAATATAGAAGCAACACATGAATGAGTTCACTTATCAGCTCTTGGAATAAATAAAGATTTTTTTTGTTTTTACTTTTTGATTAAAATTCTTATAAATAGATTTTTATTTACAGACATGAATCTGTAATACAACGTATTACAGATTCATGTCTATAAAAAAAAAAAAAAATCTTTAAAAATATTTTGACAGCCTTTTGCTGCAGCTGGTAACAAGCAACCCTAAATTCATTCCAAGTACTTTGGATTTCTTGGTACGGATTGATAAAGAAGTACCTGACAGGTGAGCTTCTACAATATCCTCTCTTTTTCTTGAATGAATAAAAGATGAATGTTGTTATTTATTTTATTTTAAAGGGCAATAGATCAATAATGGTAGCATTAAAGACGTTAGCATTTGATTTGAATATTTAAAGACTGGTTGCAGAAAAGGAAATCATCTCTGGGAGATGATTTCACTTCTTGTTTGTTGCAGGAGAGTCTTAATGGCAACAATGAAGCTTAATGTTTTGAATGTTTGAGCAAAAAAATCACTGACATTTTATATTTGAATACATTTAAAGTTTATTGAACTTAAAAGTATTATTGCTTTTACTACTAAGACTTCTATAAGTAGTCAAGAAAAGCTTGTAGACTAAATAGGAATATAAAGTCAGTAGGATTAGATATAAGAACTCTTTTTTGTTGAAACACCAGACCCTGTACAATCACTGAAGTTAAGCAATGTCAAGCCTGGTCAGTACCTAGATAAGTGATGGAATACTAAGTGCTCTAAGATTGCATGTGTCAGTGGTGTAATGGATAATGTCTCAAAATTTTAAATCGGAGAGCCGAATTTCAATTCCCATTGGATTTGTTACCTTGAAAAGATATAAATTCACCTCTTCTCAATCCCCACCTATGGGTTAATTATTAAGACTTGTATCACTAAACTGTTATTATCCAAAAAATATTCTTACATTCTAAAAATATTTCTGGCTTTAAATAACCTGCAAAATGGTTGATAAGCCATAAAAACAAATCAATCAAGTAATGAAACATGTCAGTGACATTAATAACCAAGATAGTCTAACCATTGCTACATTATGTGGAAAGCTTCCTTTTTTTTTTAAACTTTTAAATTTTTAGAATTTGACAGCAGAAATAATTATTTTGAAAGTCTGATATAAGATAAAAAATAAAAGTTCTACTTTTTGTCTTGGTGTTGACAGATATAATAATTGGAAAATTATTGCATATCTATTAATATTGTATGAATATCTATTAGATGTCTGAATAAAATTCTCATTTTTATATGCTGTTGAATTATTCCTAATGATATGGCTAGAATTATTATCTAAAGTACTGACTTTGCAATAATTTTAAATTTGTCACCTTTGTTATTTCATTATTATTGTAGGAGAATAAATACTTCATATTGCCATGGGATTAAAACTAATAAACCAATAACAAATTACCAGTATTGTATCAATTGTGGATATTGAAATGTTCTGCTAACACCAGAAGAGCTCTTTAGATGTTACTGATTGCTAGTACTTTTAATCATTTTTATTTCATTGGTGCTTATCATTTTAGTACACTTTAATCCTAGTAGTGTTTTCTTGTGTCAGTTTTATGCTAAACTCCAGATAATATCAACGGAAGAGACAAATAATTTTAAAAGATCTAAATTGTCATGTTTCTGCATGTCAACTGCATGACATACAACACACTGTCAGATTTTATTATGTAAATAAAATTGGTATTAACCAACCAATGTTAGTAAAATTTTCAGTATATGCTCATATGATAAAAAGTGTATGACATATTTTTTTATTAAATGTTGACACATATTCTGACACTTCTATTTCCATCATCAACCAAGTATTTACATTGATTTAATTTTTAAGTTTGAATTCAAAAGTACAATACAGATTTTTGATGGACAATAACTCAAAATTCTTAGAAAGAGAAGTAAAAAAGAGAGGGAGTTTGTACAACAAATGATTGTTATAATTTTATAAATTATTTTGCATCCTCAAATCTATCATGTATAATCTAACTTTCTTATTTAAATAAGGTTTAGTGTTGCAGCTCAGACCAGATGTCAGGTTCATTCTCTTCATACAGCTTCTTCCAGTCAAATGCTTGTGGTTTAAAAATAACTCTTTGACCAGATTGTCACACATGAAATAAAACCATGAGACTATTGTAGTAGTAGGCAAATTTTATTCTGGTCTTAACCTACTACTGTAGTTGAGTGAGTCATGTATAAACAGTCTAATGAGCATGCCTTTCATGTCACTGCAAGGTGGTCTCTTGTCATGCTTTGTGCTTCTGCCTGGGTTTCTCTGTTTTCAGCTGATAGTGACCACTGTCATATAGAGAACATTGTGCCTCATTTTGTCATCTTTGTCTAAAAAAAGTAATTTATTAAGGTCTGGCTTCTTTTATTGAACTACTTTGTTAGGGGTCATTTGTTATGGTTGTTGTGAGGCCCATTTCACTTAGCTGATAATCATCAGGACAATAAATGTGGGAAACAATTTTTGCAATAGTCCAGATGTTTCGATTTAACTTGATATTAGTTGAGACTGATATTGTTACAAAGACTCTCTTTTTAAAGAAAAAATATTTAAAAATATTTTTTTCTTGTTCTCCTCTCAACCTTTACTTGTTACAGCAATATTTAGGGTTTATAACATATACAAAAGAATCAACAAATAAATCAAACAATTTCAACAAAACAGAAATAAAATAAAGAAATATAAGTTCAGTAGATGTCCCTTGAGAAAGAAAAATTGTTTGTTTGTTAAAAGAAGCTATGCCCAAAAGCAAAAATAACTTTGTGTTCATTTGATGATATCATGATAAGGATTGTTCTCTTTTTTCTTTTTTTTTTTTTTTTCAAATATGTATGCATGTATTAAGGTGTGCATCCATACATCAATTGTTTCTGTAGTGTTCTTACCTCCATCTTCTTACACTGGTGCACTTTTGTTTTTTGGGGTTTTTTTTAACTGATGCCAATATTTGAGACAGTTTCTTAATGTCCATTCAATCTCATTGTAGTCCTCCTTCACTTCCATCTTGGACACATTACATTAAAAATTTAAAACGATTCCTGTTGATTTTGAGAAATCAACATACTCATCAGACAAACTTTGTCTGATATTTTTTTTTTTTTTAATACTTTCTTGATTCAGCCTCTTTTTTTTTTCACACTCTCTTTATTCTTAAACCTTTAAAAAAAAAAAAAAATTTCCCTCCAAATCTCCCCAATTATCACTTCTCCTCACATTGGCATGAATCCTCTTTTTCTCACCCACCCACCCAGCTATGGGTAAATAGCAGGACAGACTGGGTTCTATAGCCTTGGATGTCTAGGAGAAAGTAACTCTGAATTCAAAATTATATGTAGCCTTGGCATAGCACATATTATACAGATAAAGAAAGGCTTGTTTGCATTGGTTTGATGATCCCAACGACTTATCATTTGATTTTAGGCTCTCATAGACTAGAAATTTGCAAAAACACTCTTAGCTTCTTTAATATTTTCACACATACATAAACGGGAATCCACTAATATTTTTCAGTCTATTTCTCTCTGTGTCACTGATCTCTCCAACAGAGGCACAGTGGTTTTATCCTCTGGGTTTTCATGTACCCTCCAAAACTTATCAATTATGTCAGGCAACAGATTTACTATCTTGTTCTACTCTGAGTCATTGTCACTTATAGATACCACTAATGTAGCCTTTTCACATCAATCTATTTCTTCCTTCTGGAATGTTCCATTCATCAACCTTTGCACTATGAAGATCAACAGTGTGTACCTTTGTAGTTGCACCTGTAAGCTTATCCTTGATTTTATATGAGACTAGGCCTTGGTATAATATGGCTTCCACCTTTTATCTAATTTTTACCTTCTCTAGTGATACTTTAAAGTATACTGGTTCTTCTATTTCAAAGCTAATTTCCTTACTCTTATTTTCTGCATATTCTTGTTGCTTTTTCTTAGATATATATTCTTATTCTTTAGATATGTTCTTTCTCATTCTAACAAAAGCTCTATACTGTTCCTGGAAAGCTGTTTGGTGATGTCCATCTCCACAGTAAGGTTGTTGAGGTTGTAAAATATTATCTACAGGTAACACTACATCTCTATTATATATTAATTTAAAAGGTGAAAACTTTGTTTTCTCATTTTTGTTGAATCTGATCACTGCTAGTGTCTGATTCAAATGCACATCCTACGATTGTTCATTATCAGCTACTCTTTTTTGCTAATAAATATTTTGTGCATCGTGCAATGAAATTTCTCCACTCTACTATTATTTTGAGGATGGGAAAACAAAATAGTAACATGATCGATCCTTAGCTTTTCACTGTTTTGTTCATTATGTGATTTATGTTTTTAGTGCTGTTATCTGAAACTATCTTCAATGGAGCACTGAAACAAGCAAAAATTTCATCTATCAATGAATGAGCGATGACTTCACCTTTTTTTATTAGGAACAGCAAATGCTATATAAATCATGTAGTGATTTCCTGATAATTAACTGCAATCTTAGCAAAAGGGTTTGGGGTTAGGTCAATTTCCTGCATCTTAGGATTAACTTTTTGAAGATTTCTAGACTGACATGGATTGCCAGCATCCTTATACATTGCAAACCAAAAGTATTTACTCCTCATAGCTCTCAAACTCTTTTCTATTCCTACATGTCCATTTTTATCATGTTACTATCATATAATCTTCATACGAAGATGATTTGGGACATATAATCATGCAATAGGTTCGTCATCTGGATTTGCTCAAAAGTAAAGTATATCATCCAACAGAACATATTTATTCCCTTCCTTAACGTTCACATTACCTGTTTTAATGTGATGTTTCATTTCCTTAATTTCCTTCATCATCTCTAAAAGCTTAAAATCCTTATCCACTTGTAGGTTGGGGGATTTTGATAGATCTTCATACACAATATTATTATCTACTAAATTATCGACCTTACAATCATATCTTTCAGAGCTAAGAGCTCATGGCTGAATCTTATTTTGTATTGACAACTTCAAAAAGTACTGAAGAGGTTTGGGATCTGAAAATATTGTAAATCTCGCAATTATGAAAGTAGTGATCTAATTTTTGTAATGTGTAAGCAACATAAACACATCCCTTTCTATATTCGACCATCAAGATTGTGTATTATGGGATATTCACTCACACCATAGGAGTAGTGGCAGTGGAATTTTAGACTTGTATTCAGGAAGATAAAAACAGGAAAAATAAACAGAATACAATAC